CATCAGAATTTCAAAAGCAAAAAATGAATATTCATAATTATTAACAATATATTTAACTTCTATCTGAAAACTAAATGGGTCAATGAACTCATAATCCTTGCTCCTTGTCTTAGTATTTTCACTTTCAGTAGTTAACTTTTCCTAAGTTAAAGCAGATATACAAGAGTTGCCTTGGTTAACTGACCTACAAAACACCCACTCTGGAGTTAAAGTTTAGTGTCAAAAGATCCCAGACAGGCAAGCTCCATGCCTGCAAGCTGATTACTTTCAAGTGAACTGTAGAATCACCAGAAGGCTTGATCCTAGAGTAGAAGACAGGTTATGAAGCCAAAGTTGAGCATAATTTTTCCACAGTTTAATGCAGAAATAGCACGCCACTTACTCATTATTACAGTTGAATAGCTACAGTGGCAGAGAAGCCCTTTTTTTCTTATAAGCCCTTGAATGCTGTTTCCAACATCTGTTATAGTGGTTACTGTATACATGATAGTAATAATAGATGGCATTATTTCTTCCACAGCCTGAAAAACATGCCTATGCTGAAATTAGAACTCACAGAACTCAACAATATCTTTGATATATTAAGCTTAGTTGGCATCAACATTATTTGACGATTAAATGTGTAACATCTGTGTAACAGGAAAACATGAATCTGGACATTCTCTAGACTTCTAAGATATGGAGACTGCCTTTGGGTCTTTGGTAAGTAGTGAAAATCTTGCTAACCATTTGACATTGGCTAGAGTTCTGGGATATCTGCAAAATCCTAGAAGTGCCCTAAGCAATAGAAACACATGAAACATAGGTTTTCCAAGAAAATTACAGGTTTCAACTTCTGTAAAACACTTATGAATTCTACATATGACTTGAAGGTTTACAGATAAGAATAAAATGACCAATCTGACTCTAGTAGCCTTAAAAATAATCCTAGTAATTATATATATGAGATAAACAAAATGGCCTACAACATGAAAAAGTCATTTTAAAGGGTTTGGATTCTAACTAAATAATTACTCTAGCAGGTACACACTTGCCCAAACACGAATGTTTATTGTTCTTGATGTAAACTGTTTCTATGTAAATGATACTTGATTTCTATAATTTCTTATATTAGTTACACAGCTATACACATGAAAATACTCAGACTTTCATTTCAGAGCTTAGTGACTTCTCACACTAACTTAGAGCCTTGCTAGTTCAGAAAATGAGGATGGGCATAATATTATACTTTTGTAGAAGTCCAGTAAAGCATAGTTTCTGCTAAAAAATGCAATTTGTTAAGATATGTTGCTAAAGAGGCCTATAGGATAAGTCTACTCTAAGGTCCATTATCAATATTTAGACTCAAGAGGCCACCTTTGGGGCTAAAGAAGGCTGGAACTAGCAGCATTCAAAGAATGTCAACACCAGTCCTTCCTTTGCCAGAAAAGATGACTGGTTAGCAACGTGAGCCAGATGCTGCTTCCACACACCTTGCCAGACCCTGGGGCAACACATTTGCTCAGGGCCTGAAGTTGGCTTCCTATGTGGCAGCATAACCAGCCACTACTCGAGGTTGGGCACGTCCATGAACACATCCACTGATAATTTCTATATTTATAGAAAGCCAGAACATGTGTAGATAATTGCACAATTGGATATTTATGTAGTGCCAGATTTTATGAATACAGGAATTTGTTAATTAGCACAAGGACTAATCATTAAAATTCAAAAATAGATAAATAAACAGGAATGCCATTTATTTGTTAACATTTCAGGGAAAAGTATGCAGCTGCTATCCTTTTGATGAATATAGCCTTCTAGAAAAAAATGTGAAGAAGGAAAAGTATCTGTAGTTTTTGAAACCGTAATCAGTAAAATCCAGGAAAGCACTATATAGTCTTTATATGAAAAATAAACAGTGATTCTCCCCTTAAGCAAGAAAAAAAAATTTAAGTATAAACTGGGATGTGCTTAGCATTTGAATTATACTGTCCAGCATTGCACTATTTTGGTCCTTTTCAAAGAGCCCAAGCCGATTTTCATCGGATAGGAGTTAAAAAGCACACACGCGTCACTCAGTACCAAATTGTTTTAGCTACAGGGCATGGCAAAGCATGAAATAACTGCTTTAGAGCACTTCCTCATGTGGGTGTGTTAGATAACTGTCTGTTCCAACATTAAAGTGAAACACACTGTGACCGGACCAAGACTTTGGGGATCTAAACAGACAGATTTCATGTGCTGATGGGAAAGGTCCACCATAGCAAGCAAGACTGGTTAATGAATTTTTCTGGCACACTGTAGCCCTCCTGTGACACAAGCCTTTCAGCTTTCCAAATCCCTCTACAGCAGAGCACACTGGTTGTAAGTTTACTTTTTCACATTCTACAATGCCCTGCTGTATTTAGATTGTGACAGTCCCTCCCAGAAAAGGCCAAGATTATTTTTCATACTAAAAATATTTTAGATCCATTGTAGGCTAAGGATTGTCATGCAAAAGAAAGCATATACACATTTTAAAAATTAAACCAACCATAAAATGACTACATTTTTATTTGCTTCTATTCTTTCTAGAAAGTTAAAATAAGTGTTCATTTTCTCTTGAATGTTTTGCCACTGTTTTACTGGTTATTACCACAAATATACTTAACATGAAATTTTTAAAAATATAATATCTGCAAATATTCTGATTCCTTCGCCCAAAATCTGTAAGACTATATATAAATATAACTATATACACATAGGTATCTCCACACATACATGTATACAGAAAAAGAGAATAGCTGGTCAAAGGATAGATGAAGACTCCTTTTGGGAAAAAAGTAGAATTTCAGATAGTTCTCACAATCCTACTACAGAAAATGACAGGTGCATGAAATACACACACATTTGACATATTAGTTTGGAAAATGATTGTTGCATCAGAGTCTGAAATGGAAGCAATTATATCTGAAACACAACTTACTAAGTACCATGCTAACATACACTTTCAAGACTCCCCACACAGTTCTCCTTAGACCTTGGGAGAAGAAAACAACCTCTGACAGGACCTGACTGAGTGTACTCAGTATTTGTCCAGTTCATGGTCGAAGCTGGCCTTTTCAGCTGAAGACAGTTTGGGCAAGATAAGAATGTTAAAACTCTCAGAATACATTTTTTAAAAAGAAATGGTAAAAAAGGAGGGGGACATTTAGTAGCAAAAGTTCACCACCATCCTTTAATAATAGATTTTTAATAAACATTTTACTCGGCTTGAACCTTCAGAATGTGTTTGGGAATCTGTACTGGTGTCCCAGGTGGGTTAAGAATATTGCTTCATGGACTTCTTTGTGCTATCAGAGAGGCCTAATGGAATTAAGAAAAAAAAAAAAAAGTCTGCCACTTCTATTAAATAAATAATTTATTATAAAAAGTTGATTGTTATCATCAAAGATCTCTACAGATCAGCATCCATTTTCTGTCACTGCTCATGTATATGCTGAAAACATTTGTGTCCTACTATGACTTAATTCTTACCAAATGAATAGCAGTTTTACTTTTGGACTTATCTGAATAAAACTCCATTAGGAAGCCTATTTCGAATGGACCTTATTTAACTACTCCTTTGAATTTCGAAGAACACTATTCTAAGAAAACTCTAACAACGTCAGCTAGTTTGAAATGTAACTTTTCTCACCATAAAAAAGAAATAATGGGGAGAGAAAGCTCCTCAAAACTATATTTGAAAAAACAAATACATTATTTTTGGTCCCCGAAACGTTAAATGAATACTTACAGTTGTTGTGCAAGATGGCCTGATACACTTCATAGCTTCCACTTTGTAAAAAGATGGCCAGCCCCTTACCCCTCCCTACCCAAGCATAAATAAACAGTCACATACTAAAAGGAAACTGTCCTAGGATAAAAACTGCTTGTTAAGAAAGTTTACATTCTTACTAACCACAGTGATGCCCCTCTACATGTAAAAGTCCATTTACAAAATAAAAGTTAGAAAGCAGAGTACCTTTTTCTTCTGAAAATATATCCCTCAGATGTAATATTTCTGTATGTGTTATGGCAAAAATAATTACTTGATTCTTACCCACCCTCAGCAACAACCCCTCATCTTGTCCAATGCCATCAAACAAATACACGGACAAAAAGTATTCAACCTGCTTCAAGGATTTAAACTGTAAATATGGACTTTAAACTTCAAGGTAAAACAAAGAACAAGAGTCTCAATTTAGTAATACCCACTACTGGATCTGCAGTAAAAACTCACTGGCAAATAGCTGACAAAATCCAGTTAGCAATAAATAAGGACAACATGATATGTAGACAGACAGATGGAATTGCATAAACAGACAAGAAAAGCAAAGAGACAAACATACGGAAGGGTCTGTTTTAAGAGTGAAAGATTCTGATTTATTTGGTACTTTTCTGAGAAAAAAAATAGGTTTGTTTGTAATTATTTTTAAAGTAATAAAACTGAATCATAAGGGCACACCCTTAAATAAGTAGGAAGAAAATTAGCAGAAATTAGTAGAGATTTGGCCTCCTATAAATATTACACGTTTTAAGCTAGCATTAGCTCTGTCAAACTTAAATCTGGAAATTAAAATGCAAAGAAGAAAGAATAAAAACACTGGAGGCTACAGGAGATGATAGAAGGGGGGATTGAGGAAGTAGGATTTTTTTTTTATGAAAGTTGTCTGCCCTACCTTCTTCCCCAGCGCTGAGTTTCTCTTCTCATAATCGGTGTCTCCCTGGAAGTACAGTGTGAGTGGTAATGACTGCCTGCCTCCCTAATGAGTCCATTTTCCTGCTCTTGATGTTGTGTATATACACACACTGCAACCTACCTTACAAACCACTGAGACGGGAAGAGAGAGAGCAAGAGAGGGAGGGGGGCAGAGAGAGAGGGAGAGACAGAGACACAGCAAGCGACTGTGTGAGAGAGAGAGAAGTGGAGAGAGAGAGAGAAAGAAAAACAGAAAGAAACAGAGAGAAAGGCACAGACAAAGCCCTCCTACCAGACAGCAGACAGCCCTCCTTCCCCTATCCAGCAAAACGCAACTCGTCTAATGCAGCAACAGGTTCAGTGCTGCCAGACTAACAAAGTGACAAAGGTATATTCTCTATATTATTACTGCTTTGCAAATAAACAGTTTAAGAGCAGCTGGCTCCACCTTCTTTATTTATGCTCCATTATGAGGAATGTATTGTTTCAGTTCTGGCACACAGTACATGTAATTATCATAAATACATTTTTTGCATATTAGCAGGAAACAGTGAAATGCATAGCTTATTTATGCAATCTTTTAAATTTATTTTTTAATGGGAGAAGAATGTCAACAAATCTGCTCTGACAAAAGCCTAGTATGATTTTAAAGTCAGAGCAGCCTTTAAGGATGTTCTGTAAGAAACAGACTCCATACAAAAGGAAAACTGATCTCAGACAAAATTGATAGAAGGAATCATTGCTCAGTAAATAAATCCAGACCATATATAAAATTGCATACAAAAACAGAATTAAGTCTAATTAAGTAACTAATAGGCTGGTACTCTAGAAGGCAGATTGGCTTCTTATTTGAAGCATCTAGCTCTACAAATATCACAATGCAATATACTCTGTATGAACAGGTGCAATGCATAGAGTGCACGGTGTTACAACAACAGAAACAAATCTCATAAGGAGCTACCACCACAAGCAGGACAAGATTTCACAGAAATATGAAACTACAACAGATATCCCTTAATCTTTAATAGGTGGAAAAAATAAAAATAAGCAATGCTTCTTAAAAACCTTGCTTAATAGAAAATGAAAAACTGTTTTGTCTGACACTTCTAACCATCTTTTTAATGTACTAGCACCAAAATAATGCTGTTATTACATATTTTATCTCATTACAAGCTCCCCACCCAATTTTCCTACTCCCAGTAGCCTTTTCTCCTGTGAGTGATAAATCTGCAGCTATGGGATTACAAACATCAAAACTAGTTTCAAGCCTCTCTCTTCCTGCCTCATTTTTTTTAAACTAAACTCTGCTTGATGAGTCATACCTCATTCTAGCACTGTATCTATCTAGACACCCACCTATATGTTTCTGCAGTTTGTCATTTAGATGAGAACTTAGAAACACTGAAATAGCACTGAAATTTTCTAAAAAAACATTTACACATATACACAAAAATAAACAATATGTGTGCATCTGACTTACTCAAAGCCTACATTTGGGCAACAATAATCACATTAACTGTAAAATCATGCTTTTCATATGGCTTAATGTTTTAACATGCTTCAAACATTAGAATGTGTCCATTTGCTTAAATAAAATTACTATATAAGTTTAAATTCCTTCATTTAAAAATCGGTTTTCAATTAAAAAGTAAATAGCTACTATAATATATAACTTATAGATCAAGTATATCCTTCCCTGAGTCATAAATTTTTTTTAGAATATCAGAACACAGATGAGTATTATTTCAGTTATTGTAATGGAATATAACCCATATAGATTAGAAGGGACTGTCTAGCCATATATTCTACAAATTGTCCTAGGAAAGTTCTAGCAAGGAATCTAGAGTCCAAGCTTTTTGGTCTCATTATAAACCACCAGTTCTACTTCTTTGGTGCTGTGATAGCGTTTAACCCTCTCAAGGCAAGTTACTTAAGAAAGAACAGACACACTAAAACTGATTTACCAGACCTCTATTGTTAGTCAGATGTCTATATAAAAACATCTTCAAAATACACTTAGTGCATCCAAGGTACCAGAAGGCATCTTGCCCCTAATTACTCTTCCCTGCAGTTTGGTTTTTCTACTATTGCTCTATTTTCTCTCTGAAGCTTTATTCACTATATTAAGAAAAATGCCAAAAAATCACACAACCAAAAAAGCACACAACAATCATTGTGAAAGAATTATTCAATTTGGATATTTGTATTCACTTACTTTTCAAAACAAAGCTCTAGATAGTTTTATCTTACTATAATAAAAGCATAAAAACTAGGTAGTATTTGCTTTCAGGAATGTAAAGAACCAAGAAGGCTTTTCACCTTCTTAAGAACAACTAAATAGCTACATTTAAAAAGGCAAAAATGGGGGGCAGGTGTTTCCACACATTGGACTGCCTATGTTCAACACACATCTCTACCTCTTGATTCCAGCTACCTGATAATGCAGATCTTGGGAGCACTGGTGATGACTGAAGTAGTTGGGACCCTGCCACTCATGTGGGAAACCAGAACTGAATTCCTACCTCACAGCTTTGGCTCCAGCTCCGGCCCTTTGCAGGCATTTGGGGAGTGAACCAGCAAATGGAGGTGATCTCTCGCAAACTTGTAAAAGTGCGTGAAAGACCTTAACATGAACATCACCAAATACACAGAGATGACACTGAGCATACAGAAGATGATGTATATCATATGTCATCATGCAAATATAAATTAAAATCATGAGATACCACTACACAGTTATTATAATGACCTAATTCCAGAACAACTGACAGCACCAAGTGCTGATGAGGATATGGAGCAGCAGGAACTCTCATTCATTGCTGGTAGGAATGCAAAATGGCACATATGATCCAGCAATTACACATCCTAGTATTTATGCAAAGGAGTTGAGAACAGGTTTACAGCTGTTTACAGCTGCTTTATTCATAATCCTCCACATTGGGTAGGACCAAGATGTCCTTTAGTATTTGAATGAATAAACTATGGGACATCCAGACAATGCAACATTATTCATGGCTAAAAAGAAGTGAGCAATTAAGCCATGTAACAACACTGAAGAAACTTAAATGCATATTACTAAGTGAAAGAAACCAATCTGAAAAGGCTATACACTGAATGATTCCAACTATCTGACATTCTGGAAAACGCAAAACTATGGAGACAGTGAAAACAGCACTGGTTGCCAGTAGTTAAGGAGAAGTGAGGGACAAACAGAAAGAACACCAAGGATTTTTAGGGCTTTGAAATTACCATGGATAATATAACGGTGGATATATGACATACACTTTTTCACACCTATAGAATATATAACACCAAAAGTGAATCTTGGGGCCAGCGCTGCGGTGTAGCGGGTAAAGCTGTCACCTGCAGTGCCAGCATCCCATATGGGCACCGGTTCAAGTCCCAGCTGCTCCACTTCCAATCCAGCTCACAGTTATTGCCTGGAAAGCGGTGAAAGATGGCCCAAGTTCCTGGGCCCCTCCACCCACCATATGGGAGAACTGGAAGAAGCTACTGGCTCCTGGCTTCAGATCGGCATAGCTCTAGCTGTTGTGGCCATATGGGGAGTGAACCAGCAGATGGAAGACCTCTCTCACCTTCTCTCTCTGCCTTTCTCTGTAGCTCTGCCTTTTAAATAAATAAATCTTTTTAAAAAAAATGAATCAATATAAACTATAAACTGAGTTAAAATCACATCAGAGTAGGTTCATCATATATAACACATATACCTCTACAGTGAAGTTATGTTGATAATGGGAGAGGCTATGCATGCATGAGGGAAGGGAGTATACAGGAAATCGCTGTGCTGTTACCTCCAATTCTCCAATTTACAATGAACCTAAAACTCTTATAAATTGTAAGGATGTTAAAATTTTTAAATTTTTTTTCCAGTCCTAGAATTGCCATGAATAGTTTTTAGATGCTGAGAAAGTCATGTAAGCAACCTTGACTTCAGCCTTTTCATAGAATAATAAAAAAGTTAAATATAAAAGGAAAAAATTGAATTTAAAAACGTAATTATTATGATGATTCTAGTCAATGCTTAAGTGCTTACTATGTCCCTGGAACTGTTCTGGTATTTTGCATTTATTAATTCATTAAATCCTAAACAAGACCCTCTGCGATGGAGACGATTTCTAGCCTCATTTTCAAAATGAAGAAACAGAGAGGTTAGGTGATTTTCCTGAGATAACATAATATAGCAAGAAGCAAAAAGCCAGGAGCCAAGAACACAATCCAGGTCTTCCACAAGGTACCAATAGCACAGTTGCTTAAGCCTTCACAGCTGCCTCCCAGGGTCTGCACTGAGAGAAAGCTCAAGTCAGGAGCCAGAGCTGGAATCAAATCCAGGCACTGGTATGTGGGGCATGGGCTAACTGCCTGCTCCCAATTTCATTCTTTTTAGACTTCAATATACCCTGTTTAGAGCTGTTATGTTCACAACTAAATACTTCCTAAAGTATGTGAAGGGTGAGACTTTTTTCATTTGTTAAATTTTCAAAAGGAGATAAAGTCAAATTTCTAAATCATTTACTACTATCCAAAGCATACTTTTGCTGAGTCTTTTTCTCAGAAATCAATGATGTTTCTATATGTGAGGCTGAACAGGAAAAAAAAAATGTTAGGATATTTTAAGATTTTTCACAAGAACATTCTCCAAAGAGACTTTGCAAAGGAGAAGGGAGAAAAACAAAAGCTATATTGCAATAATGGACAAAGAGCAAAGGTTTCAGAGGCCTTAATAATGGGTGGAAAAGCAATGTCCAGGGTGGTGGGGGGCAGGGGTGGTTTACACAAATAAGTTCCTCACTAAGTAGATGGCTTTGTCATTGAAACCACCATTATAAAGTCAGCTGTATGTGTCCTAGTGTCCTAATTACATGACAACTCTTAATTTTGCCTATCTATTTTAAAATTGCATCCCATCAATCCAAATAAAAATGAAGAGACTGTGGATAAATTATAGTTTGCCAGTACTGGCCAGCAGTGTGATCACTCTATAGGAAGAAATGCATATCTAATTTCAATTCTAATCAACCACTTCTCTGAAAAACTATTATGGCCCTAATTTACAGTGCTAGTTTTGTATATGCTTGTTTTCCCCAGTGGACTGAGAGAAGCCTCACATATACACATTAAGAGTAGAGGTCCTACTTATTAAGCATGATTAGTGAATACCTAGCTGTATAATTGGAATATAGTTGAAGCTCAATAAAGTTTTCTTGATTTGGTGAATAAATGAAAGAATTATTAAGCAAATCAAAAGTACATAGGGTTTTTAAACACTGGTTAATTAAAACTTTAACAAAGATGAGTTATAAGGATGACATAAATAACTTGAAAAATTTTTCTAAAAAATTATATTAAGTCAGATATAAAATATACTCTTATGTTAAGATAGTATGTCACACAAAAATGTTTATAACAGCCAGAAACCAGTAGTCAAACTTTTCTGCATGTTTGAAAACCTTTCACAGAAAAATGTTGAATAAAAAGGTATTGCCCTATAGCTAGCAGAATTTTAATCCCCATCATCACTAAGACGAAAATTCAACTTGCATTTAAACTTTTTTCATCTATTATTTCTTTTATAGCCACAACAAAATTGCTCAATAACAGTCCTGAAGTTGGCCTCAGACTTCTTCATAGCAATGGAACTGTCTCCTTTGAGAAAAACACTTTGAAAGGTAGCCAGGGTCAGACAGTATGGCCTGAATAATTCTCTTCGTGAAATTAAACTGTGTTAACTAAGACATGCATAAATATGTGAAATTAGGGAAGCACAGAAATGAAGGGAGGAGGAAGGGAGGATAGTGGCAGGAAAAAAAAGTAAGCAGTGAGAAATTCCCAGTGCTAAAGGGGCCAAAAGAATTTTTTCAATATTAAATTATAAGGGGCTGGCACTGTGGTGCAGCAGGTCAAAGCCCTGGCCTGGAGCGCCAGCATCCCATATGGGCACCAGTTCTAGTCCCAGCTGCTCCTCTTCCTGTCCGGCTCTCTACTATGGTCTAGGAAAGCAGTAGAAGATGGCCCAAGTCCTGCACCTGTGTGGGAGACCTGGAGGAAGCTCCTGGCTCCTAGCTCCAGATGGGCACAGCTCTGGCCCGTGGCAGCCATCTGGGGAGTGAACTAGTGGATAGAAGACCTCTTTCTCTGTCTCTACCTCTCTCTGTGACTTTCAAATAAATAAAATAAATCTTTGTAAAAAATAATTTTTAAAAAATTCTAAGTAGTTTGAAGTTTTCCCTTCAGGGTAATGTTCTATAGTCTTATTTAGTAGTGTAAGAAGTACTAAAAGACAGCCGGCGCCATGGCTCAATAGGCTAATCCTCCACCTTGCGGCGCTGCCACACCGGGTTCTAGTCCCGGTCAGGGTACCGGATTCTGTCCCAGTCGCCCCTCTTCCAGGTCAGCTCTCTGCTGTGGCCAGGGAGTGCAGTGGAGGATGGCCCAAGTCCTTGGGCCCTGCACCCCATGGGAGACCAGGATAAGTACCTGGCTCCTGACTTCAGATCAGCGCGGTGCGCCGGCCACAGCGCGCTGGCCGCGGCAGCCATTGGAGGGTGAACCAATGGCAAAAGGAAGACCTTTCTCTCTGTCTCTCTCTCTCACTGTCCACTCTGCCTGTCAAAAAAAAAAAAAAAAAAAAAGGAGTACTAAAAGAACAAAACAGTGAAGATACTCTCCCATATTCATCGATATACCATAACATTTGCTTGGATGGCAGTTTCCTAACAAGGAGAAAATATTGCAGAAATTTTAGAGTGACTAGAAGCGATGTGCACAGTATTCAGTGAATACTAAAAGTCATATATGTCTTTGTAGTATGTGCTTGACAGAGTAGGATTTCAGCCCCAACTCCTGACTCTGGCTGTTTGCTAATTCAGACTAGGAAGGCAGTGGCAATTGCTTAAATTACCGGTCCCAGCCACCCACTAGGGAGACCTAGATTAAGTTCCTGGCTTCTGGATTCAGCCCATCTTAACTCTCGCTACCGCAGGTATTTGGGGATTGAGCCAGTGAACAGGAGCACTTGATCTCTCTGTTCTGTTTCTCAAATGAATTAGGTAATTAAAAAAAAAGAAAGAAAGAAAAAAACCTATAAAGTGTCTTTAGCACAGAATGACACAGATATGAATATAATTAACCATTCTTTTCTACAGATATACAGGATAAATATAACCATGGAGAAAGCAGAGAAAATTAATGTCTGAAGCACAAAATTATCATGCATTTATTGTTGTTACAACCTCTATACACTGATCACAAATAATATTAATTTGCCAAAATTTAGAAGAATACTTTTAGTGACACAATCTATAAAGTGCTGATTTAATTAGTAATAGAAAATGCAATGGTAACTTCCTGGCTATAGAAAAACATATGAGACAGGCCGGTGCCGCTGCTCACTAGGCTAATCCTCCACTTGTGGTGCCGGCACACTGGGTTCTAGTCCCGGTCGGGGCACCGGATTCTGTCCCGGTTGCCCCTCTTCCAGGTCAGCTCTCTGCTGTGGCCAGGGAGTGCAGTGGAGGATGGCCCAAGTACTTGGGCCCTGCACCCCATGGGAGACCAGGATAAGTACCTGGCTCCTGCCATCGGATCAGTACGGTGCACCGGCTCCAGCACGCCAACTGCGGCGGCCATTGGAGGGTGAACCAACGGCAAAGAAAGACCTTTCTCTCTGTCTCTCTCTCTCACTGTCCACTCTGCCTGTCAAAAAAATAAATA